TTACTTTCCAGCATCCCACACCAGTGGTTATGTCAGCTGTAAAGCTAGAAACTGTAATTCAGCAAGCAAAATCTGGAAAGCAATAGGTTCACAATTCCTACTTTATTGGATTAGTCTTTTGTAGACAACAAGATTTTACAGCATTCTGGGAATTCCTAACACATTTAGAGGATGCGCATTTGAGAGTAGTTGAGCTAATTTTTTTGAACATACTAGTGAAATGAAATAAGTTATGAAAATAATCCAGATCTTACAGAAAGAAAATAAAAGACTAAATAAACACAAAGGTTATCTCCATTTCCATCAGAAGTCTGTGAAACTCAGAAATTTTAAAAGGCCGTTCTGTAAAGTTTGAGTAAAAGCCAGCAGTTTATGGATATTAACAGAAGAAGAAAATACGCTTCATTCTAGGGAATGTATGTTACGTTGTTTTTGAAAAACTACTATTCCAGGATATCCTAAGCTTCATTCCTTACACCTTAGGGACTTCTTGGTCACAATTAGTTCCCGTTCAAAGGAGGAAAGCAATGATTTCAAATCAAGTGAAAATATGAAGCTATGGTTTAATGTTGGATTTTGTATTCTAGGTTCTTTGGAGGTCATTTGCAATAGTATTTCATTCAATTTCTATAGGAAGCTGCGGGGAACTGCAATTTCCAGCTTGTTCACACAGAGATAAGCAAAGAGATTGCCTGCAGATGTATTAAACTCATAAGAATATATGAGATCATCACCCTAAATAGCCCAGCACAGTGGCAAACTAAATGCATACGGGAAGTTCACAACCAAACGAAGACAGTAGCTTCTTCCATTTCTGCTCTCCAACAACAGATACTTAAAAGTATGTGACCCCAGAAGTGCCATACAACCATTGGAACTAGTTCCTGACAGCCAGATACTTGACAAATTTCTGCAATCCACTTTTAAAATAATTTAAATTGACAAAATATGATGCAATTTAATCATGTTATACAAAGAGGTTCCTTCTTTTATCAGTGCTGAATCTCCCTGCATTTAGAGTCAATGGGTGACAAAGTATAGAGAGGTAAGAAAAAAAGTCTTTAACCCCAAACTTTGAGTTCTGCTCCTTGTATTTTCATATTCATAGGTGTGCCTCAGAGGTGGGTTTCAGCAGGTTCTGACCAGTTCTGGAGAACCGGTAGCGGAAATTTTGAGTAGTTCGGAGAACCGGTAGTAAAAATTCTGACTGGCCCCACCCCCATTTATTCTTTGCCTCCCAAGTCCCAGCTGATCGGGAGGAAATGGGGATTTTGCAGTAACCTTCCACTGGATTGGGGATGGAATGGAGATTTTACAGTATCCTTTCCCTGCCACGCCCACCATGCCACACCCACAGAACCGGTAGTAAAAAAAATTGAAACCCTCCAGTGATGTGCCTCCATATCTGTTTTTGTTTTAATTTGTAAAATCCTGAATGCTGTAGTTCTCCTCAAAGGAGAATTCCATTTTGGCACCTTTTCCACATCTGCAACACGGTGTGTCGATCAGGGTTTGAAAAAGTTTTCCAAATGTTATGCCATACTTACTATACAGATAGTCCTTGACTTACAACAGTTCATTTAGTGATGTTTGAAGTTACTACAGCGCTGAAAAAAGTAATTTATGATCATTTTTCACACTTATGACCATCACATGTGATAGTCATGTGATTTACATTCGAATGCTTGACAACTGGTCCATATTTATGATGGTTGCAGTATCCCGGGGTCATGTGTTCCCCTTTTGTGACCTCCTGTCAAGCAAAGCCAATGGGGAAAGCCAGATTAATTTAACAATGATGTTGCTAATTTAACAGCTGTAGTGATTCAGTTAACAAACGTGGCAAGAAAAGTCATAAAATGGGGCAAAATTTACTTAACAAATTTCTCACTTAGCAACATAAATGTTGGGCTTGATTGTAGCCAATACCTATACTGGCAATTTTATTTTTAATTTCTCTTATGATGATTCTGCATGAATTATCATGCCAATCTATCTACACCACAGGTGACATTTCCATTATGTTATTTATTTATTAATTTATTTATGAGTTTGATTTATATGCCGCCCTTCTCTGGAGACTCAGGGCGGCTTACAATGCTTTAAGTAATAGCCTTCATACTTTTGTATATACCTGCTTAGTAGGGCTTTTTTGGTCCCCCCTAAGCGGTGTTCTATTTTATACAAAGTCAGCTTATTGCCCCAACAAACCGGGTCCTCATTTTACCTACCTCGGAAGGATGGAAGGCTGAGTCAATCTTGAGCCTGGTGAGATTTGAACTTGCAGTAATTGCAGGCAGCTGGCAGCTAAGTGCTACTTTAATAGCAGTTTTCCTCCAAGACACCAAAATATGTTTCCTGAGCAGTCAAGAGTGGCTCAGGTTCTATTAAGGCATATATGAATTGTTTTTCTGGTTGTTTTTCTTTTTGCACCAAAACTGTATCACTTTGCAATTGCACTTCCAGCTATCAGGTCTAATTCAAGATTTTGCCTATTCATAGTAGTTATTACCCTGCATGGGTAAATAGCAGCTTTTCCAATAAGAGAACCTTAAAATTCAAGTGTAACATTTAGCACAAACTATCCATTATAAATTTATTAATCTAATAAACATCAGTCTTTTTGATAACTCTCAGTAAATGCAATAATTTTGTTTTCAGAAATTTATTGAAAAGAAACATTTGGTAGGTGCTACCCTGATTTTTTTAAAAAAATTAACTAACTTTGTAATGAGTAAACCGATTGAACAGAAAGTCAAAAGTGTACACTGGCAAATACAGCAAGGACTTTGGAATCTTGACCACAATCCAGATAGGACCGATAAAATTTGTAGAGCTATACAAAGTTTTGGAAGAGCACTTGAACTGAAATATCCTTGCAAGGCTTAGCATGGTAGAGCCTCATTCAAGAAGATGCATTTTTACTTTCTGCACCTGAAGAAGTCCACTTGACTGGAGCTCCAATCAAAGTTTAAGTGATGTCCTGACCACATGGTCTAAAGCAGAGGGTCTCCAAACTTGGCAACTTTAAGACTAGTTGATTTCCACGCTCAGAATTTCTGGCTGAGGAATTCTGGGAGTTGAAGTCCATAAGTCTTAAAATTGCCAAGTTTGATCTAGAGATTATCTTCCCACTGATTTCACCGGGATTGAAACACAACTAAAATGCCGACTCAGGGCAGGTTGAGGGAAGTTGAAAAAAGTAAAGACAACGGATAAAGTGGATGAAATGATCAGATATATCTGAAAAATCCAGACAAAACTTTGAGATTGCCACTAGGGATTGATCAAAATGGAGGACATTTGCCCATATGATAATCAGGGCCAGACTTGATTCAACTAATATATAAGAAGAGTCTACCTAGTACAAAACAGATAACACATTTGTCAATAAGTTAGATTTATCTGTAATAAGTTAGTTACCTTATAATACTTTATATTTTAAATACTATTTTAGTCAAAGATGTGTATTAATTCTTACTCGATTTTCCTATCCGTTATATATAATACAGAGGTAGTATTTATATTATATATAAATTCTGTATTTCTGAGCACTGGAAAATATACTCACATTTTCTATCCAGAAAGGCAATTCCCACTTTACTGAATTTTACAAAAGAGCTGCAAATACAAGTAGTCCTGGACATACCAAAGTGGAGCCTTCCTTTACAGTTGCAAGTGGTGACAGCTGTTGAGATGGTCTTATCCTCCATCCCCTGTTCTTCTTGATGCAGCTGTTAAATGAATGCATGGGTCGTTAAGCGGAGCACAGGGTGCCTTAGAGGGTGGGGGAATCCCTGGGATGCCCAGTGCAGACCATGTACAAGTTATGGGGGTGCAACAGCACGGAGTGAGTGCAGGGAAGCCAGGGAAAGAAGCTGTAGCTACCACTCAGCCTGGCCTAGGAGCAAGCAAAAGGCATCTCCCTCAGGGAGCATAAAACACTGTGGAAACTTCCACAGTGGAGCATGAAGCAGCCTCAGAGTTGGGTACAAAGCAACTGCCTTGCGGGGAAACTCCAAAAATGTGAAGCAGCCACCCCTCCTATGAAGCCACAAACACCTGGCCCTCTCTGCCCGGTCTGGCTAAGCCCTGTGCCAATTGATTTTCCACATTTTCTTCCTCCCAAAAAGATGCCCGGTCTGGCCCTTTAGGAAGAGGAAGTCAAAGAAAAATGCTAAAGCCAGCCATCCAGCTGCAGCATCCTAAAATGCACCTTTTCCCATGTTCCTGAGCAGGGCTTTCGTAGAGGGTGGAAAAAAAAAACAGCTGCCTTCACTTTTCCAAGGCTCTGGAAAGAGTATGGCCTCCCAAGGCTGTGCAGAGCAGCCCCAATTCCTAAAGCAAATGTTAAGCATTTTTTTCCCCTTCTCTGCAAACTTCTCTGGGCATGGCTACTAAGCCTGTTGGTTCTAAGAAGTTTCAGCTTGACTTTCGTGGGTTAAAATCATAAAGTACCAATTCCTAGAGATCAACTTCAAAGGAAGGAGCCATTTCCACTGAAATGGAAATAGCCACACCCAGAGAAGAGTTTGCAGAGGGGAGGGGCTGCTTTGCTCTTTTGGAGTCGCGGGGGGGGGGGTTGGATGTTTGGGGCTTTTGGCCCCACTGCATGCTCCGTCTTGTGGGGGATTGGCTGCTTCATGCCTTACTGTGATAGTTCCTTAGGTGTTTAAGGGTGTAGATGGGGAGCCGAAGGTACAATAGGCAAATGAGAGAAGTTGCAGCATCTCTGCAGCCTGTCGTAAGTGTGGATGGGCTGCCGAGGGTTGCAATCAGTAGTGGGATTCAAATCTCATCGCTACTGGTTCACTCATGGGCGCGCTCGTGCAGAACACTTCTGCGCATGCGCAGAGACGTCCAGGCGGGTGGGCGGAGCCTCCCACGGCGGCTGCTACCGGTTCACCCGATCTGGGGCAAACAGGTAGCAACCCACCACTGGTTGCAATGTCATAACTTTGGGCACAGGTTGCAAGTCTCTTTGTTCAGCACCATCGTAATTTGCTTTTTAAATTTTTTATTTATTCATTTTATTTTATTTTGTTTATTTATGCTTCGATCAGAAGGACTTGGGCCCCCCGCCACCATCGTAATTTCCAAAGGTTGTTGAACAAATGGTCATAAGTCGAGGACTATCTGTAGCTAGAACTGCCCTTAGGAAGTAGTATGTCACATGTAAATATTATGTGCTATGAAAACTCTTTCACAGGTTTAGTTCTGTTTCATTTAACAATTCATTTGCTGGATACTTTTCTTCAATTTCAATCTCCTTAATTAGCAGGTCATCATAATTAATTTAAAATATACAATTATGAAAATCCAAAGACACCCCCCATTATTACAACACAAACACTGCAACAAGCAACTTCAATGGGAATGCCAGCAGGAAGTTGGAAATTGAAGTCACATGATGTCATGCTTATAAGCAGGCACGATTCATTTAATGATTGCAGCCAGAACTGATGTTGTAAGTTGGCATGGTCATTTACCTTTTACCATCATGTTTAATGACCACCAACTGTGGACAGCCAGTAAGGATTACCTGTATGGTTTTCTCCCTTTTGACAAAGATTCTTTTTTAATTATCTGCCAGGATATCTTCTCTGCCCAGTTTTTATAATATTGCTTTCTTGCTGTAAGCATGTTTGCCATAACACAACATCCAAATAGCCACCACTGTTCATTTTCATATATACATACAAGCATACATATATACAAAACGCTTTTTGAATTCTTCCATCTTCAGCTACAGAAACTCCTGACGCTGTGTGTCCTGTTTCTGGTTTCAATTATACACTCCCAACACACAGTTGTTATGGAAATTAGCAATTTGCTCAAAGTTGAGGAGAAAACAGCAGACAAGGAATGCAAACAGAAATAGAGCCTCTGAAAGAAGCTTGCTTGAATATGTTTTCTTTAACAGGAGAAGACAGAAGAATAGTCAAAATCCAGTCCAAAGTTCCAAGAGCCAGGTCATTGTTGTCAGTCAATTCAGAAGTCCAGAATCCAGAATCAACTGTTTGATCTCCAGCTTTTGCATGATGTTTGTGTGAAATTCTACTCCTGAAATTCTAACAGTTGATTCCAATGAGGGATAATGGGTTGCCTTGTAATCAGGCTGCAGCCAGCTGCCTTTAATCAAGAGATTTACTCCCTTGCTTGACAGGGAGTCTCATTGAAGCCTGTACTTTGTTTTCTGCTCTCCTCACCAGGTATGGGGGCTTGGAGGCCTTCTGCATCATCTGATAGTTTCAGCTATTCAGGTAGTGTCTATGTTTGATCAGCCTCAGGTGATTCTTAGCTTTGTGTCTCCTGAGGCTGACATTTCATAGGTTCTGCTGCAGCAGCTCCTTCAAATTCAAATCCAGACCCAGCCATGATGCAGTGCACCAATTTCCACAAGCATTGTACCATCGAAACAGTGGCAAATCTATGAAGCATCCCAATGCTGATGATTTCTAGGTGAGACATGATGCAACTATCAATAAATATTCTTCTGATGCCAGCATCTTACAAATAAATCAGTAGAGCTGAATTACTTCTTCCCATTCACTGATCGGCCAGATTCCATTAGGTTGGACATTGGGGGGTGAATTTTTCCAATCCCACACTTTGACAGGAACCTTCCAGTCTTTACCATAATTGGCTTCAATATAGTGGAGGGTTTCACATGGCACATGTACCTTAAGTTCTAGAAACTCAGTCCAGCACAGGGTAAATTTGGGGAAGAAATACCTGCAAAAAGGAAGAACAGATAAGATGGTGTAGGTAAAAGGCTACCAATGAGAAGTAGGTTATGTTCTTAGATTATTATGTGGCAGACTGGATATAAGCAGTATGCAAACTTAGCTTCTGCAGGTGATATATTATTATACTAAATTATTATGGAAAGTTGTTGAACAATTTATTTTAATTCTGCTGAATTATAATGACAGATCAGAGCTATTTACAGCACCGAAATGCAATCTTCAAACTCTCCAAGTCCCAAGGAAGTAAATTCTTCTCCTTTTTAACCTTTAAGCAGACATTTTGAAGTGCATAATCATGAGAATTAGAGACATTTATGTTGTTAATAAACATAAACATTTGAATTTCAGGACACCATTTCTTTAACCTGCTCCTGAAAGTGTTTTTAAACTAAAATTTTTACAAATTGTCCAAGTATCTGCTTTGCAGACAGAATTGATTAACTGCACAGAAACAAAATTCTTCACTAATGATCAAATTTAAATCAAGATACAATCAATCACATCTTTGGCCAAAAGAAGAGGAACTAACATGGTGCCCCAGAAATTCTATCCATTCTTTGTAAAAATTTCGTGTTGATCCAAAGAACATCCATTTTTCCCATAATGTCATCTCTATAGAAGAAATCAAGCTTAGTACCAACAACTTTCTGGTTAAATAACTGGGTTTTTTCTTTCCCATTTGCTCAACTTAATTTATTCAGATAATTTATTTCCCTCCAGTTTAGTTACTCAGAGTGGATTACAGTCATTCAAAAAATATTCCCTATTCTAACACAGTAAAATTGAACCAGCAACACCTATAAATATAACAAAGAACAAACAACTAAGCAACAAACACAGCTGATAGTTAAACAAGGACATTAGTCCTAGATAAGACTGATGATAATCTGAAATGTTCAAAGTAATACAGAAAAATTTTAAGTTTTATTTAAAAAAAAAACACAATTCAGAAGCAGATGAACTTTCCTAGGCAGAGGGGAAGAATTCCTAACAAGCACTCATTGCTATTCACCATTCCTCTTGATTCCAGAAAGTGGGTTAATGGGGCCTCTGGGCATTCCAAAAAGCTAACATGGGAGACAATAACTTAAAATTTCCAGATGCAAAGCCAGTTAGAATCTTGAAGAAATAAATGCCAGCATTTGAACTGTATTCAGAAATGGAAGTTTAACATGTTGTAGGAGGTTCTGCAAACTACCTGCAGAAGGAGACACTGTGAAGAAGCCAAATATCTGCAAAGGCGGGCTGATAAATGTGAGACAACTTTATCTGGTCGAAATGTGTTTGAATATTGGGTTGGTAGTTAGGCTATTGGTTTGAGCTCCAAGCTTGGCAATTTGGTTGCAAACGTTTCGTCACCATTCGAGGAGACGTTGCCGATGCATTTTGAACTGACTCAAAACAACTTAAAACACACTGACGATGGTGACGAAACGTTTGCAACCAAATTGCCAAGCTTGGAGCTCAAGCCAACAGCTCAACTTTATCTTTCAAAGAATTTTATTGTCCATTAGTGATCTTGCCTCTGAGAAACTTCCTGGTTTTTTTTTTAGTAACCAGGTCAATGTTCTCCAAAAACCTTAAAACCCATTAGAGTGAAAGCAATTATTTGTGTTGGGTAGTAAGATATGAAAACAGATAGTTGTTTAGTAAGATTTCCCCTCCATAAACACCAACTCTTAGTCGTACTTAAATTTCTTGCCCGATTTGGCCTGGGTTCCTCCATTCCACATGTGGTCATCCTCTTCATAGAAGAAAAAAATATCAAGCTTCACTTCGTCTTCTCCTCCCTGGAAGGAGAGCTCTAAACTATCTTCAACCTATAAAGAAAGGGGGGGGAGGGGAGACGTCAAGACACAGATAATAAAATGGTCATGCATCAAAATTAACGCTTGATTCCCTTCCAACCCTGTAATTCTTAACTCTGACATTTGAATATTTCCTAGCAGTATTTTGAAGATAAAAACGTCTTAAGAATGAATAAAAAAATGTTGAGGGAAACGGATATGAGACTTTTTTAAAAAAAGTTATTTATTTATTTACTTACTTATTTTATTAAAAATGTCAAATCAATGCGTGAACAGTGTGGCACCTGGGTGTCATACATTCCAATACAAATGAAATTGATTAGATTAAACATAATTATTACATTCAATCAACTTATGTATTTCTAATAACAATACACCTCTATGTTAGATTTCAGTCTATCATTATTCAATTATTTCACATTTTCTCATTATTACTTTCATTTTGTAAAATAAAAATGTACACATTAATATTCCCCTTATTTCTATCACTTATTCTAACTTTTAATCATGTCACCCTTTATTAAGAAACTTTTTCTTTCTTTCCTGTCTAACTTCAAATCATGTCACCTGCCTAAAGAAAGAAAAAAAGAAGGAAAAAAAAAGAGAAGAAGGGGGGGGGGGTAGAAGCAACTTAGAACAACAACAACAACAACAAAAACCAGGAATCATCCATCCATCATCTCTTGCCCGCTTCATACTTTAATTGCTATGCTTTAAAAAAGAGAGGAAAAAGGAAAAGTGAATCAGAACAACAATAAAAAAGAAAATTGTCTATCCATCATCTCTTGCCCACTTCAATACTTTAGTTGCTATGCTGCTTTTTTTTTTTTTTAATTTGCCTCCCAAATTCCTCTCTTAAAGAAAACGGATATGACTCTTTCAACTCTCCATGAAATTTGGTCAGGAAGGGGAATCACTTAAGAGTGCCAAGATTATTAATTTTATGCCCAGCCTATTAATGTATATAACAGCATCACAGAAATGTAACAAGTCTTCAGCAGTTTTTTTTTTAAAGTTCTTTTCTAAATAAGCTGAACTAGAAGATAAAGAGCAGAAAGTCTTAAATTTCTCACTGCTTGGATGCTATTAAAACTAACAGGGCTAAAAAGTCAAGGAGTACAATAATTATGATAATAATAGAAGTGAAAGATGCGCAAGTTAGCTCTAGTCTATCTGCAAGATAACACATTTTAATATTTGCAAAGTGCTGAGCGTTGCACCATTTGCCCCACTGAGGAAAGAAGAAAAGAACAAATCTCTATGTTTTCAGAAAACATTGCTTCTGGGGGAATAACAGCTGGTGAAAAAATAATAATTTGCAAGAAAACTAATGCAGGGCCGCTGTCTCACTGGGAACATGTTTTGATTTAGGAAGTTGTAGCTACTTTTATGTTGAATTGCAGCACACAATCCTTGCACAGTTTTCTGTGCTCTTTCATTTATCCTCGTAATAATCCTGTGATGTAGGTCAAGTAAAAATCCTGATTGCTGCTCCTAACTAATCAGCAAGCTTCAGAGATGAGAAAGGGTCCAAAACCAGGTCCCCCACTCCCCAGCATCCCACCCAATGCAGTCTTCTAGCCAGGGGTGGGCTTCAAAAATTTTAGCAAGGGATTCTCTGCCCAGTTGCTGGGTGGGTGTGGCCATGGTGGGCGTGGCCTAGTTGGCCTCCTGCATCACGGCGGGGTGGGGGTGCTTTTTCCTCGAGCTTCCGGGAGAGCAAAAACGGCCTCCCAGGTTCCAGAGACCCTCTGGAGGCCTTCCCAAAGTTCCAGTAGGCCCGTTTTTCGTCCTCCCCGAGCCGCCGCACAGCCTTGCACTTACCTGCATCCAAAATGGGCCGTGTGGGGACACCTGGGGTGGACGGGGCCAGCTAGGAATGGGATTTGGGGGTTCTCCGAACTGCACAGAATCTGAGCTAGAGGTTCTCCCTTAACCCCTGCGAACCCCCAGCAGCCCACCCCTGCTTTTAGCATAATGTTTTTCAAACTAGGCAATTTTAAAATGTGTGAATTTCAACTCCCAGATTAACCTAGTCGGCATGCCAGCTGGGGAATTCTGGGAGTTAAAATCCACACATCTTAAAGTTGCCAAGTTTTCAAAACACAGTTCTAGTATAACCTAATTATTCCTTTAATATTTCAGACACCCTGAAAAAAGGATTGGCAAGAAAGAAAACTATGAGTCAAACATATTCCTGTATTCACCAACCTTGCCAAATTTGTGCTTTAGCGGTAACCCAGCCTTCTGAAATGCTGGAATAATATCCGGTTTGTATTCTTGAATAAAAATTCCCAGGTCCAGGTCTTTACTGTAAGGAATAATGTTGCACTGTCTGTACCAACCTAAATATACAACAGATCCATGAGAAATTTAATGCACAATCATGCAGCCCCAACACTGATGAAAAAGAGGACAGTGTAATTAGATTAAGACACAAAAATTATACCCAAAGGTTTTCCATTCTAAGCAAAGATGGAGAATTCAATTTCTCCTCTAACAATTGCTGCATTTATATGGTTCAGAAGATTTCATCCTCTTGTTATCTATGAAAGAAATAGAAGGACAATTTTACTTGCTCAACCTATTTATCCCTCAAGGCTGCTTGGTAAATACTTAAATTTAAGAGTAAACTTTCATTTCCACAAATGAAAATGGCTGGTTTCTTTCTTCTAAGATAGAGGTCCTGTGATATATATATATTTGGAGAGATTAGGTTTTTTTTATAATTAGTGAGAGAAATTGTATCCAAAATCTGTAAGTTTTAACACGGTTTGAAAAATTCAGCTAGAACCATTTCTGGTAAACCAGCTGCAACCTCTCTTCATGACAAAAATTTTCTAAGCTTAGGGGCCTAATTTTTGCAGGTTACTTTATTTGCAAACAATATGTAAATGTAATAGAAAAACAATATTAATGAAGAGTAAAAATATATAGTGGTGCTCAGGAGTAAACCCAGACAAGCAATCAGCAAAAGTCTCTCAACTGGCCATCTAAACCTTCCATTCCATGTGATGGTAAAATCACAATAACTTTGTAAGTAATTCTTTCCTCATATTTTCAGTATTCTAAAATTTTTGGGCAGCATTGTGTTGAAGACGCTGTAGTCCTGAATTCCATAACTGAGCAATGCCTGTATGAATTACCTCAACTGAATGACATCCTGGGAAATATTAATGGATTAATACATTTTTTTCAAACATTCTTTGTTTTTAAAAGGTACACAGAGAGTAACAGGGGCCTCCTTGCATCTTACTTTCCTGAAGATCAGGATACAATTGGCATTTACACTGTGGGCTATTTATTTCATTTAGCTTAGATCAGGGGTGTCAAACTCGCAGCCTGCGGGCCAGATGCATCAAGTGCTGGCCACCCCCACCCCCACCCCCACCCCGGTCAATACTTCATATCTGATGGTGAAAAGATACTCCAGACTGGGCATAGATGCATATGCCAAACTCTTTTTGTATTGGGTTCAGACAAAAGCTCTCATAGTCTAAGACTGGGCTGTCAAACTCGCGGCCTGTGAACCAGATGCGTTGTGCGCTGGCCACGCCCATGCCCAGTTTAGTGAAAGGGGAGAAAGTCACGATATGTCACGTGCCGCCTCCGTGACAACACAAGTTTGACACCCCTGATCTAAGACAAACTCATTTGCATTCACATGAATGTTGTGGTTCCATGCATTCGATCAGTGTGGTCTTCATACATGGTGTATTTCTGCTATGTACCTAGTTTGGTCATCTTGTCCCTCAGGCTCAACTGCCAGCATTGCAGAGAACACTTCTGGCTTCCAACCCAAATGCAAGTGACTTACCTAGACAAGTCCCGCTACTCAGCCAGAATTGTACTCCCAAAGTGTTCAGTGTCAGAGCAGCAAGATGCAGCAATGCCTTGGCTTTTTTCCTAAATTCCACTGCCTCGGGGGATGTATCATCAGGGTACAGCTAGAAAAGAAAGAAGAAGGAGTAGGGGAAGAAGGGGAAAAATGGAGGAACGACACTGTAAATTCTTTGCATGTTGTAAGTCAAATAAAGGCATTTGTCTAATCTGTATCTTAGCTTCCATGATCATTTTTTATTTTTCCCTACCATTATTTAGAATTCCCCCAGGAGAAATAAGTAACGGTCACAAGTAAAGTGGTTGCTAAATGGGAAATCACTTGAGTTCCAATATGTCTTCAAGCTGGAAAAAGATAACACTTGTCATTTCACCCCTTCCCTTTTGTTTGTCTCACAACTGTTCCTTAGGAAGCAGCGCCTGCTTACACATCAAAAACAATGAGATTGTACCACCCAGGACTGCATAAATTGCTTAGTCTCTTGAAATCCCTTCCTTCTCAATCTCTCTAATCTGCAATTTTGTAACAGAAAAAAAAACACTAGTGAGGCAAAGAACAATGCTGACTATATTGGCAATCACATGACTGAGGGACACTACAAAGGCCATAAATGTGGTAACATGGCCATAAAATTATTTGTTCAGCATCGCTGTAACTTCAAACGGTTGCTGAATGAGTGGTTGGTAAGCGAGGACTACCTGCAATGAATTTGTATTTAAATGAAGGTCCTTATTACTTGTTCTCTTGGAAAGTGGAAGGAAGGAGCCACAGGGTTAGGCAAGGGCCCAATTCAAACTGGTAATGATAACCACAGGGGGGAAGCTGACAAACAATTTAAAAATCAAATTTATGGAGCCCTATGTAACATAATCTGATACAATATGACGTCTTTGGAATGAAATCGATTCTCTGCTTGTGCTGAAGAGCATTGGCGAGTTTGAAAAATAGTCATTTGGACACTGACATGGGTAGTCTCTGAGATATAGACAGACAGACAGACAGATCCAAAGTCCATCAAAAAACCACCACTGCAATCAATCCAATTTTCATCTTCACTAAATAATGCACTTTGCATTCCCTCCTGCACTTGTAATAGGGATAGCTACAAACTATTATTTATACCTTAGTAAATCACAACACAAACTTTAACCCACATATATTTTTTTTGTTTTTAATACAACTGTTCTTTTCTATCTTCCTGCTGTGCTCAAATGGTACCGAAGTATTTCTTGCAATCAAAAAAACGGATTCTTTCATTGATAGGCCTTCTATATTCATTCTTTGGCGCCATCAAGTGTCAAAACCACAGAGCAAATCTTAGTAGGTAGTCACTAAATAGGATTAAGCATGGAAATGTGGGTGGCTGTTAGGCTGAAAAACTGAAACACTGGTTGCCTAAAGAGGGAAAAGTTTAATTGAGTTAGGATTTCAACAAAACTATGGCCAATATTAAAAAAAAAACATGCATGTGTCTCAGGGCACCCAAAGTAACTGTGGGTTTGAAGAGTGGCTTTCCAAGCCTGGGAAAAATTGATTTTTGAAAGAGATGAAACAAAGTACAAGTAATTCACCAGGTGCTAGGCTATGTAGTAAGAGAGCCAATGATGTAGTGATTAAGGCATCAAGCTAGAACCTAGGAGATTATGAGCTCTAGTACCACCTTAGGCACAAAGCCAGCTGGGTGACTTTGGGCCCATCACTCTCTCTGAATCCTGGGAAGGAGGCAAAGGTAAACCAGAGATTAATTACAAAAATTATGATTCTCTGAGCTCCAAACAGTCATGAGACCAAGATCTCTGCCACTTTGCAGTGAAGAGCTAAGAGCTAAGAGCCAAGGCTTACAAAGGTAGTTGGTCACTGTATTTATAGGTTGATCAAGTCCACTTAGTACCACTGATTTGCTACAAATGAAAGATCTGTCCACTTACACTTTTTAAACAATCTCTCCATTTTGAACACTTAACAAGAATTAGCAAGCATTGCTATTTCAATGCCGGGGTGTGGAGGAGAAAGCTGATAATAGTGGAAACATTGCACATTTTGGAGGCAGTGATGACATGGATATAATGTCATTTTTATTAAACCAATTAATTCAAACAAGAAATGATACTAACCTGGAAGAATGATCGAGCTTCTTTGTACCGACATTCAACAAATCGAGAGTGAGACCTTTCTTTGAGGAACTTGGATGGCTCTTTTGGAACCTGGACTATTAATCCATCAATGGAAAGAGTCAGTAATTCCATCCTGTTACAAGAAGGGGAAAGTGATGTTATCCTGACCAGAAGAATGTAACAGAAACAAAACATTTCCTTTTGAATTTGCATTAAGACAGCAAGCTAACAAATGCACAATTGCTGTTCCTTCTGACACACAATCACAACTTGCATGTTCACCAAAATGTTTTGTCCATCTTAATCTGCTATTCTCACTCCATCCAATTCATTTAATGTACACCTAAAACAGAACCAAAACAATTGTAACAATTGGGTGATAGAGCTGCCAATCAACGGAAGGCAACATCGGGTACTGCCTCCTCCTAGGTTCTATTCCAACAGGAAGAACAGAGAAATTCATGTGGTGAAGGCAGAAGGACAGATTTGAGGGACACTTGGGAGTTTAAGTTTGGAAATCTCTCATTGTCTCATTGACAGAAGCCCGGGAATGATTTTAGGGGCAGTGTAGGCTGCTATGTACAGGATATAAATAATTTTTAGAAATAAATGAACTTGCTTTAAAACCCATTTTTGGTGATTTAATAAAAGTCAATGTGTTCCTTATTCCTATATTAACCAGCTATCTGTACTATCCTCTATCTGCCCCGTATTCTCCCTGCTTGAGACTTAAAAGAATTTCTGTACTCTAAAAAGGTTTTAGTGGTGGCAGGAAAAGGATAATCAAGGAAAAGACCTCCACAACATGGAGGGAGGGTAGGGTGTTTTAACAATTTATTTGAAGGGTCTGTTAAGATGAGAAGGCAGCACATGTAACTGGAAGGAATATAAAATAATAAGCTTTCCAGCTCATCAACTGAACCTTCTGACAAAGGACACATTTAATATGAATGCGAGACAACAATGCTAGCACACTGCAAAGCAACTGTGAACATATTCCACAATCACAATGCTGTTAATCAATATAATTGCCTTAATTAAGTGAATCAGATACTTTCACATTTTAGAAGCAGCTCATCAAAAGTAAAAGAAGAGAGATGCCCTACTTTCTTACAAGAGCACATATCTCGTCACTGGGGAATCGTGCATTCCCCCCCCCATCTAGGATATATTGTGGGGTGGTATTGTGTCATTTTTCCTGCTTGCTTCACATCGTCCAAATTCAGAGATGGGGCTTCCTTTGTTCAGAGGTTACCATAGTTTAAAGCCATGGGATTTCTTTGAGGGTGCTGTTCTTTTGTCTGCCCTGAACCTGCTGCCAAATAATGTTGTCAGGGAATTCTCATCTCTGCCATCATAAAAGGAAGAGAGAAGGAGGAGGAATCTAATGGCCTCATTACCGGCATTAATCAAAAGTACAAGTTCACTTTCTTGACACAATTTTCATCACTTTCATATTCTGAGATATCTGAGTCTTTTGGAAGCAAGTACTGTACAACAGCTGTGTTTTGCAAGAGGAGCCTTATCATCATATATAACAACAATAGCAATAGCACTTAGACTTATATACGCTTCACAGTGTTTTACAGCCCTCTCTAAGCGGTTTAAAGAGTCAGCATATTGCCCCCAACCATCTGGGTCCTCATTTTACTGACCTCAGAAGGATGGAAGGCTGAGTCAACCTTGAGCCTGGTGAGATTTGAACTGCCGAATTGCAGGCAGCCGGCAGTCAGCAGAAGTAGCTCGCAGTACTGCATTCTAACCACTGCACCACTGCAGCTCCAACAACAATAACAACAAAAATACTACCCTGCTGTTTCTTACTTGTTATAAGCTCCAGAATAGCGTCCAAAGTGTAGCTTCTGGAAAGGCACAAACGTCCTGTCCATGTGCAACTTCAGACGTAGTGGCCCATGCCAGAGGTAGTTGCCACTCCTTTCATAGAAGACTACTAGATGGATGGCATGAGTTGCCTGTTTGAAGATGAAGTGCAGGGGAACTTCTGTTCCAGAGAGATCCTCCATGCCTTCTAAACGTGGATCTTTACTCTGAAGTTTCAGCCACTGGAATCCCATTCTCTCAGCAGCCTGAAACAAGCCCACCTGAAACCAATATAAAGTTTTTGTTCCGATCACGTTCATCAAGCCATGTTTCACCAAACAGTTCCTTTTAGGTTGAAATGAAAGCAAAACATGGCAGAAGAGAATCATCTCATGGTTTAATTTCAACATCCTTTTCCAAAAAGCTCTAGAGCAAACTATTTTGTTCAGTTAAATCAAAGCTCTCTAGAACAGTGTTTCTCAACCTTGGCCGCTGGACGATGTGTGGAGCTGGCTGGGGAATTCTGGGAGTTGAAGTCCACACATCATCTAGCGGCCAAGGTTGAGAAACACTGCTCTAGATAAAGTCAATAACCCTCTCTGGCAGAAATGAACCTCTGTAACAGTGAAAGCAAAGATGTGTCATCTCTAAATGCTAACATCAAGAATTTTGCTGCTACTTCAGCACCATGTGTTGGATTACTGCATGCGCGTAATTTTCTCAAAAGTTTCTCAGGAAATACATCACCACAGATAATTAATTTCCATGGGATGGAGGCCACATTTGGTCACCCTTGGGCGGAGAGAGCCCTCCTTGTTTTGTTAGATTTCTCAGTGACACTCACTTTCTTTGATCACAATATTCCTTTGGTCTGCCTGCTTTTTAAATAGCAATTCAAAGAAACCTGACAGTGGTGTTGTGGAAGGAGGAGAGGTCAAACCCTGGATCATTTCAGTGAGCACTCCATTTTATTTAACATTTACATGAAATCAATGAGAGATCTTCCAGCAGTTTAGGTCTTCCTTTTCTACCCCTTCTCTACTATAAAGGAAATGCAGTGGAAGGTTTGACTTGGTGCTTGAAACCATGAAGGACCGAATGGGGCAAGCCACTGATATTTTGCTTATTTCTTTTGATGGGGCTGTGTTTCTCCTGAAAGAGCTGCTACAGTAATCCCAGATTTACAACCACAATTGAGTTCCAAAATTTATGTTGCTAAGCAAGACAGTTCTTAGGTGAGTTTTGCCCCATTTTACAACCTTTCTTGCCACAGTTGTTAAGTGAATCACTGCAATTGTTAAGTTAGTAACACTTAACTGACTTCCCCACTGAGTTTGCTTGTCGGAAGGTTGCAAAGGGGGATTGCATGACCCCGGGTCACTGCAACTGTCATAAACGCGAGTCAGTTCCCAATCGTCTTAATTTGGATCATCATGGGGATGCTGGAAGGGTTGTGTGAAAATTGATTATAAGTCACTTTTTTCAATGCTGTTGTAACTTTGAACGGTCCCTAAACAAATGGTTGTAAGTCAAGGACTACCTGTATACAGTCTAATCCATTTCTTAGTTAGAGTTAGAGGCATCTGCTGGAATAGCAGGTAGAAGCGGCAACAGAATCTACAATCTACAGCCAGCGTTGGTGAGCCTGCCAGTAATGTCTCTGAATCAGAAGATGTTGAAAGGAGTGATTACAATATCATCATCTCTCAGACTACAATTCATTCCACGTTCCAACTCCAGTTCCACACTCTTCATGTGGCTCACCTTAAAGAGAACCTAGAATTGGAATCTTACATGCTAATGGAAAAGGTGGCTGCTTACTTGCTGATTGGTGTTAGTTATTTCAGAAGAAAAAATATTTGCCTTACAAGACCTGCTATTGGCTGTCAATAAGTTTCTGGTCCCAATACAAGATGCTGGTGATTACCTATAAACCCTATTCAGCTTGGACCATTGCTAGCTTTAGGGTATCTTCTGCAGGCGGACTCTACCCACCCTACTTCATCTAGTGTGGAGACAATGCTTTTCCCTAAAGAGATGCGGGGGGAGGGGGCTCAGACAATGACATTCTCAGGAGAGCCCCTCCCTCCTGGAATAGCATCACCCTGGAGATCAGATACCCCCTCCCACCCTCGTGTCCTTTAGAAGAGTGTCAAACTGTCCTTTTTCAAAAGGCATTTAAGTGGAAGATCTTAAGTGAGAAGGAATGGCACCTTTTTATAAACAGCATGTAATAGTTTTATTGATTATTAAGTATTTCTTATCCTGTTTTTAATCAAGGGTTTAGTTTTTGTAAGCGACTTAGAGTAAAAAATAGTAGGGAGCATACAAATGTGGGCAAAAAAAAAAAAAAAAAACCAAACAGGCACCTTTATAACTCTCTATTGCATCCTATTAAATGACTGCAAGCTTTAGCAGAGTTAGAGGAAGCTGGAAAAAGACATTTACTTCAAGTTTCCAGGTTTTGTCCAGTAGTCCAAAGGTGGTATAATCCCGTGGGGTACAGAAGTATTTGCATTCTGAGTGACTGCCATCAGAAAAGGTCTGAAGCTGCTCCAAGTCTCGGTCAATTAGTTCCAAAAGGAGAGGATCAATCAGATGCACAACTATGTTGTGGCTGGCCACCAAGTTCAGAAATTTTCTCACCACATGCTGTTTAAAAGAGAAAAAAAAAAGAGGAAGGAGAGAAAAAAAAATCAGGAGTAAATGTTTGCTGAAATCTGTACCAAATAATACAGGTAGTCCTCAACATGCAAGCATAATGGAGCCTGCCCATTATGGTTGCATGTTGCAATGGTCGTAAAAGGGATCAGGCATGTGACAAACCAGATTTTACAATTTTTTTTTCAATGGTGGTTAAGCAAACACTGAGGTCATTAAGCAAACAACACGGTCGTTAAGCAAACCAATGGTTCACTATGGGCACTGTTTTGCCAAAAACCAGAAGTGCCAGTTTTTGGCAAAACTATCGTAAAAATGCGGTTACGTGACTGCCAGATGCTGCAAATAGTCTTACATGCAAGTGCCCGAAATTTGGTCATGTGGCACAGAGGGGGCCCAACGACCGGAAGTTCAAATCTAGGTAGTAAGTCTTCTTTTTCGGGTCAGTTGTGACTTCAGTCACTAAGCAACTTGTCATAAGTTGAGGACTACCTGTAATGATTTGTAATAATCACAACAATCATTTTAAAATCATGATTTTGATCATGAGCATCGAGGGATTTTATATAAATAATTATAGTTAATGTAACAACAATTTTAGGATATTTGGCAAAAAACCAAAGTAAAGGATAAAGTAAAGTAAAACTCAAATGATTCAGATAAACTTTGGTGCCAAAACCAAGCCTGGGTGCCTTTTTAGAGTGGAAGGCTGCATTCAATCTCCTTCAAGGTGTTAGGTATAACCCTTGAAGAACTGTAAGTGGTAGACATTACTTCCCCATAAATAAGTCACTATTGTTAAAATAAAAGTACAGTAATTTAACACAAGTTCTGCAAATATTACCCTGTGTATTTAATATTCCCTTGGTAATTATTATTTATAGGTATTTGCCTCGTGCCATTGCCGCCCTCCTTTTCACTGAGTTGCCTCTTCCACCTCAAGCATGTTGTTTATGAAAAATAGTAAAGTTGGATGTATTTACCCATTGACTATTGTCTTGTCCTGCTTTGCTCCCTTTAATCTTGGGGAAAACCGCTCCATTCTAACAAAATCAAACAAGAGAAATAAAAGCTCTACAACTCCAGTCTCAACAGTACCATGAAATTATAATAACAAAAAATAAAGCTCTGATGCTTTTTACTACCAAGCAAGTACGTCTCAGAATAACATTTGGTATCTCTGCCTTCTATAAATGATGGGGGTTGCTTGCTTATTTTGTTTTTGCTAGCATATTTTAAAACATTATAAACACTTGTTTAGATCCGTAAATCTGGGTTTAGGATTGTTCGTAAGTAATATGATCATGAAACGTTACCTTTGGAGACAGATAGTATTTATAATAGTACAGCTGGAACAGGAGAAAGATTGAGCTGGTCAAAGTAAGAAGACCTAGTACTACGTTTTTGTTAATTCTCTGCATCGGTCTTTTGAACCCTCCTGGTAGTCATTAGAAAGCAGCAGTTGGTGCTTCTCATCTTTTTTAGTTGGCCTACTGTGAGTTTCAAAGCTGGGAAAACATAAAAAAAAATTGAATTCAGTTAGAAAGCTATAATAGCTTTTTCAAAAGCAAAGCTGTTGTTCTTCTGTTTAAATAACTATCCTACCACCCAAGTTCTGAGAGGCAATTAAAAACTCATCATACAAAATTAAAAAGTTGATTTATTGATTCACAGCTGATTCGGTGTCATTTTATTTTGGATATTGCTCTTGTAAGTTCATGCCTGCAGCAACAATGCCTTGAAGGTGTCACTAGGCAGACTTCTCTGAGAAGGACATCCCATAAGTAACGTTTTACCCACTTAAATCCATTTTGGGGGAAGAAAGTTATCTCGAATCATTTCTGCGAGCATGTAAAAGCAGATTCTCGACAAGAATGAACTTTGTGTCCTAGTAAAGGGAGCAATTTGCTCTTACCAATTTCAATACCCATCTCGAATCCTAAAGGAAATAGGCCTTGTCTTTCTAATATTCCTGAAACACTCAGGCAAATTGCAAAAACAGTACATCCAGTATGTCATTGTGATTTTTGGTAACATGACTGTGATTGTGTGGTTTGAGTTTGATTATCTTTGGTGCCAAGGCAGTATTATTGTGTCATTTTTGTTTATTGGTATTAATTTGTATTGTTCCTTGGTTTTAATTCCCTGTTCACCACCCAGAATTGAAATTATAAAATGGATGGCAATATAATTCCAGATTAGACATTTATAAAATGAAGTAGTAAAACAAATGTTTACTGAGACACCTGAATGGACAACATAACATTTCTCCCAAAATAGCTGAGATCTACTATCAGGATCTGAAGCATTCTAACCAGAAACAGGATCACGTGAACTAAATGGGTTCCAGGTGCATCAAGGCAAAAAGAAGAAACAGACTCAACTAACAAATGGAATACACTGCAAAGGTAGATTCCATTTTCCAAACTCCTTGTGCCCAGATACTCAGTCACACACATAATAGTAAGCAAGCTTATGCAGTGTGAGAAGCGGCTTTGACCCATGAACTGACCCTTGAATGAAGTTGAAAGTGGAGAAGCATTCCTGAAAGAGACATGTTTCAGTCTGAGTTAGGCATGCTATGCCCCAATAGTCTTTTAATAGACTATCAAGTTTTAAGTTCCTTAAAGCTTCCTTAATTTACTGCCTATTACCCAATGCTGTTTATAATATTCCAATTTTTCCCCACATATCCAAGTTTTAGTTTCTTTGAAGGAAAACTCAAACCTCACAAAATAGACTAGATTCAGTTTTTTTCCCCTTCACATCAACAAATAGAGGCAAAATACCGGATATGTATACTGAATTATTTATATCCAGATTCTGGATATAAATGTGCAAATGTGAGTACTACTTATTTGCATATTCATAATTTCCTGGAAGATCCCTGCTAGTGCAACTTTATATGCATAACTCAGTCACTAGTGGTTGATTTGAGATTCAAGCATATGCCTATGGAATGACTGATTCTCTTCCAAATATGGTTGTAGGCAAAACTAAATAAGAACTAAGGAAGCTTGATATCGGTAGGCGTCACTGAGACTGCAGTCTTTTTGGTGAATTTTTTTTTTTTTAATTTGATTTATATGCCGCCCTTCTCCAGAGACTCAGGGCGGCTTACAGTGCGTTAAGCAATAGCCTTCATACTTTTGTATATTTATACAAAGTCAGCTTATTGCCCCCACAAACTGGGTCCTCATTTCACCTACCTTAGAAAGGATGGAAGGCTGAGTCAACCTTGAGCCTGGCAAGATTCGAACTTACTTTAATTGCAGACAGCTGGTGTTAAATTACAGTGCTTAGTCTGCAGAGCTATCCAGTTATCTGCCCTTTCTAAACGAAGTAAACTCTAATCGACGTTTATGATGCATTGCATTCCCTACCTCTCTTCCAACCCTGGCAATTAAGACACGCGTGGGGAAACCTGAGGCTTCTCCAGATGTCCATGAACTACAATTCCCAGCATCCCTTACCATTGGCTATGTTGCACCAGTACCTGGAAGGCTGCCGGGTTTCTGGCTCAGGTTGAGACTGTGAAGCTTTCGTGGGGGCGAAGAAAGCTGCTAACGCGAGCGCCTTAAAAACGTTTATTTCCCCGTTGTGCTAACATCTCTCTTTCTGGCTTTATCCGTTCAAGGCTGCGTGCGGTATATAATGAAGGCTAATAATTCGACGTTGATGCCCTTACCTGCAAGGCGGGAGGCGAAGAGGGGGAGATCCTAAGTCGCAAAGGATGGGCTTTTGCGGCACTACCCGCCGTAAGGCAAAGCCGCCGCGCTTTACGTCAGCTGCGCCTTGCAGCGATGCCTGGCGAGTTGCGCGAAGAAAAGAAGAGGGGGGCGGCGGGATTTCGGTGTGGTTGTGGTGTTTTGTAGTGGACTGCTCGGTTCGCAGCGGAGGCGGGGAACAGCCTCACCCTGAAACAGAGGCTCTCTTGCCACTCTTCCCCCTTTAAAATTAAGTTTATTTAGTTCAGAGGTCTCCAATCTTGGCAACTTGAAGACTTGTGGACTTCAACTCCCAGAAAGGCTGAGGAATTCTGGGAGTTGAAGTCCACAAGTCTTCAAGTTGCCAAGATTGGAGACCCCTGGTTTAGTTTAATACGCAACGCTCCCACGTTGCAACTGGCGCTGGATGGTTCAGTTTGTATTTTGCAGCTTCACGGATAGTGGCGCCCTGGTGGAGACGTCAGTGCAATTTGGGAGCTCTGGTTTGCGGGTAAAGGAAAGTGATGGAACTCTTAAAAAGACTGGCGCTGCTCTGTGGGTTTCGGGACAAGGAAATCTGCCGAAGCGTTGTCAGGTATAATAAAGGATTTGCAGAAGAGACCACCAGGAAGCATAGATTGGACTGGGAAGGCGAAGAGGTGGCGCTAGAAAAAGTTTCCAGGGATACTGCATGGCTGTTAGGAAAAAGCTATTTGCAGATTTATTTATTTTTTTTTGAAGAATGTTGATCTCCAAGTAGGGTTATTTTATTTTTAAAAAAGAAAGTGAAGACATGGCGATACTGCACTCAAGTGCATGTTATTTCATTAATTTCCTCGAAGTAGTGAAAAGGTATCTTATGTTGTTGTTAGTTGCGAAGGCGTGTGCGACCCATCGCAACCCCATGGACAATGTTCCTCCAGGCCTTCCTGTCCTCCACCATCCTCGAGTCCATTTAAGCTCACGCCGACTGCTTCAGTGATTCCATCCAGCCACCTCATTCTCTGCCGTCCTTTTCTTCTTTTGCCCTCAATCGTTCGCAGCATTAGGCTCTTCTCCAGTGAGTTCTTCCTTCTCATTAAGTGGCCAAAGTATTTGTGTTTCATCTTCAGGATCTGGCCTTCTAAAGAGCAGTCAGGGTTGATCTTCAAGGGATTTGCAGAGTCTTCTCCAGCACCATAGTTCAAAGGCCTCAATTCTTTCTTATAAGGCATCTTATAGTACTGTATAAACTATCCGGTAACACAGGGGTCTGCAACCTTAAACACTCAGAGCCATTTGGACCAGTTTCCCACAAAAAACAAAACACTGGGAGCCAATAATTTAACAACCAGTGTGACTGAGTGGGCATGGCTAACTCGAAGTCACTCACTCCCATCCAGTCACAAGAACACCCCCCCCCCAGCTATTTATTTTTATTTATTTATTTATTGGAATTTGTCAAAAAAAGAAGAGAATAAAATACAATGACAGGGACAATAGGCACGTTAGTGCATTTATGCATGCTCCCTCTACTGACCACTTAAGTATGAAGTAAGGTCCACGGAAGTAAATTTGTGACTGAAACTGTGAAAATTGTAGCTGAGACAACTGAATTGAGTAGGGCATTCCAGACTGACTTACAGAAATCATATTTTTTACAGTTTAGAACAATTTACATTGAGTTTAAAGCGGTTGTTTAAACGCATATTATTGCGATTAAAACAGAAAGTCATTTACAAGTAAAACATTACTACATATAATTTTGTATGCAATACCTAGGCCTGACCGCAAGCGACAGTTCTAAGTTATCCAAACCTATGTCTACCCAGCTGGTCATTAGGACAGAGAACCAACTGTTAAATTATTTGCCATCCCTGGCCCTGCCTCACCCTTTCCCTCCCAGCTACCTCTTGCCACACCCGGCCTCAGGTGTGTTGTTCACCTTTTTCTTTCTGTCTCTCTCTCTCTCTCTGGCTGCCCGACAGACTGCAGCAGGAAACAGCGGATGGCTACTTCTGGCCTTTGTTGGTGCTGGACGCACCTCGGTCACTCAGGGAGATACACTCTGCTCTCTGCCCTGAGACAATGGCCCACGCCGTGGCCGGCGCAGCTATTGCCAGGGGCGATTGGGGCAGGGTCGCATTGTGGCTCCACATCATAATGGGCTCCAGGAGAGGGATGAAAGGAGGGAGCTGCAGCAGAGGGTTAAAAGAGCCACATGCAGCTCCAGAGCTGCGGGTTGCCAACCCCTGCCCTAACATATCTAGAAGTGTTTTTTAATTAAGATTTATCAGTTAGAATATCTTTAACAAACTGATGTTATTGGTTTATAGTACAGGTAGTCTTCGGCTTACAACAGTTTGTTTAGTGACCGTTTGAAGTTACAATGGAACAGAAAAAAGTGACCACCATTTCAGTATCCCCATGGTCAAGTGATCAAAATTCAGATGCTTGGCAATTGTTTCATACATGACAGTTAATGTCTTGGGGTCATGTGATCACCTTTTACGACTTTATGACAAGCAAAGTCAATAGCTAAGCCAGATTCACTTAACTGTTACTGACCTAGCAACTGCAATTATTCACTTAACAACTCTAGCAAGAAAAGTCATAAAATGGGGCAAAATTCACAACAAATGTCTCACTTAGCTACAGAAATTTTGGGTTCAATTGTGGTCGTAAATTCAGTACTGGTAGTTGCACGATTAGGAAGATTGCCCATCTTCATGATTATAAAAATAAAATGTACCTCATTCCACTGGGATTTGCTCACCCCACTCATGCTAGGAGGCGGCATACTGCAGGCCTCAGCCAGGTATTCCAGTTAAGTGGGTCCAGAAGAGCCTTCTCTGCCATTGCACCTGCCCTTTGGAATATCTTGTGCCCCCCACCCCCAGGTCAGCTCCAATTCTGATCTTCCCTAAGTGTTTAAAGACCAGATTCTACTAGGCTTGGGGCTCCAAGGGAGGGGCTTCAGGATGGAGGTGATAGTTTAAACTTCTCCCCTCCCCATTCGCTCCCTCCCCATTTAGCTGTTGTATTTTGTATTTATTTTTGTATATTTATATTTTTGTAATATATTTATATTTTATCTTTTTAATATTGTAAACCACCCAGATTTACCCTGTGACAAGGTAGGTGAACAATAAATTTAATAAAATTAATTCCTCAGTGCATTACATCCATGGCCATTTTCTGTTTTGCCCATAGTTAGATTATAATCAAAGGCAATATAACAACAGAGGTGGCCACATTAAGAGCTTGCTAGAAAAACCCAATTGAGCAGCTTGGACTTGTTCAATTTGAGGAGAGTATGAATGAGAACCATATTTACACTGAAAGCCACCAGTTAATTTTGGAAATTTCTATTGACTTTTTATAGCATCGCTCCCTTCTAGCATGATTTCCTCTAAAAAGTACAAGTACAGCACTGTGAACAATATCATAAGAACATTGTTAACTTCTTCCCACCATAACTAAGCGGTAAACAAACTTGCATCTGATGAAGATTGTCTCTTCAGAAAGCTACAAAGGAAAATTGGGCACTATTTTCATGTAATTTGTTGTTTATAGTCTGCCTTTCACTCAAGAGGCATGCCTTTCACGCAATCCCATGCCCTCAACAACCAGGTAGGTTTGTCTGAGCGTGTGGCTGGCCCTTAGTTGCCCAGTGAGCTTCCAGTGAGTGGACAGAAACATGGATCTCCGAAGTACCAGTCTAACCTCTTCACTACCCCAAACTAGCGCTTTATGCCAGAAAAATTAGTTCCATCCTTAAAGATACTGATTTCAGTAGCCCAACAATAGTTTTTAAAGAAAGAGAGACTACAAGAGTGGTTTTCCAATGTTTATTAATACAAAATCCCTCCGAGGTGTGATTGAGTTAGACACAGCAAATAAAAAACTCAATGGGTTCTAAGGCACCCAGTGTGATTGGGATGAGATTATTGTTTTTGGATACTTTCTCAAGGATTAAGATTAAAGCACCGAATGGAAGCAGAACCATCAATCCACAATATCCTTGTTTAGTAGTAATAATATGCATTCTAATCTCAGCATCTAATACCATAACCAAGAAGAGAGATATGGCCCTAGTTTGAAAAGGCACGTGCAGAACTGTTTTACAAGTGGTGAAAAAGGGAACAGTCACCTTATAGGGCAAGACCTTGAATACAGTGTGCTCAATCAATTTAGTGTCAAACGCCCCAAATGGCTAGAAGAGGTAAGGTCAACAAGTGTGAAACCACTCACAGAAGAAATGCTACTGTATCAAATTATAATTTGCATAATTCAAATGTCAGTACTCATAACATAATGATTTGCTTCAAACCTGTTCTCATAAAGAATGCATATCCAGAAGCAAAGGCAGGGAGCAGAGACAACAGTTCACTAAAAAAAGGATTATTTCTACTTTCTCCTTAGCCAGTTATTTAAGTCTGTAATATTAAACTGAACTCCTAGCATTTGTCTTATATCACAATGCTGTAATATTTAAATACTAAATTAAAATTTCATCCATAATATTGTCCATGTGGCTTAAGTATTTTTTGACAATAAATTCACATCATTTGACATTTAATTTTAATCAACTATTCAATTTCTAAGCTAGTTTACAAAATTTTGGTACTCAGTTACTGAATGAAAATTCCTAATTTTCTGAATACCAAATCAGCAAAACTGATTTGTTTTTTTCTCATAAACTTACAAAACAAAACTATTTATAATACAAAAATACATTTTACAGTAAGTAAGCAAACAAATTATGTACATACTGGAAAAACACTATCCATTGTTATGATCTAGCATTCCGTACCCAAAACACAAACTACGTAATACTTTCATTCGACATCTGCATGCTTGCCATCAAATAGAGCTGATCAGAAGAATTATATCATTATCTTTTCAAAGTACTTTATAAGTAAAGAAAAAGTGTCTAAAGTGCTTAAAGAATCTCCTCTTGTGTCTTACTTTGTTAAAACTGAAAGGGATTGTT